TTGTTTTATGTTCCATGACATGATTTATTTATTGATCATTGAACAAATAGGAACGAATCTATTTCAGATTTACTCTTAAATTTTATTCTTTGTAGAAACAAAATGTTTCAGAAAAAATCGTTTACAAGAAGACAATCAAAACCTAATCGATATTATTCATGAAAAACTTACAATCTTCTGCACAATATGCATATTGAACACCGAAACTATTGAGATACTTTGCCATTTTATTGAATCGAAATTTATCTTCTGTTAAATTATCATCATTATTCTGTATTAAACTATGAATTGTTGTAAGATTTGGCAATGATCCTGACAAATTTAACCGGAAAAACTCATAAGTTGTCTTTCCTCCAAGTATATACAAGCAAACAGCAAAACTTTTCAACTTGTCATCATATCTACATCGACTCGTATTAGATAAAGATAAATTTTTCGTTATAGTATTTATAAATAGGGATAAAAGTTCATGTTGATCATTTGTTATACTTTCATTCTCATAGAAATTGGGAAGTGAAAGAAGAATTGGATGTTTTTGAAGTAGTATATCAATCTTTTCAGATGTAAGAGACGATGATTTTGTATATTTCTGATCTGATTTTGATTTCAATAATTTTGATAAATATTCGTATTGCAATTTTAAACCAAGTTTGACTTGAAATGCACAATCACTTGAATCGAAACCTATTTTTGATTTCAAATCTCGTAATATTGTAGAATCATGTTGGAATATTTCAAAAATATCACTTGTTTGTAAAAATATAAAAACTGAATCAATATCCTGTATTTTAAGTACTTCAGTCAATAATGCACCACTCATACTTTTGTAAATCGATAGAAATCATCTCCTTCTAATTCCAGAACATTTTCTGGTAAACGAGAATTATCATCGATACTAACAGCTGCAGCCATAATTCAATAACTAATTTTTCAGTGCGTGCAGCCAAATCTAGAATGTGAGAAAATGAATTCTGGATTTATAAACAATATAAAACACAAATCAAGAGAAATGATAT